AAATGGGTAGGGTATGTTCCTCTTTTGAAATGCTTGTGCAATCACATCCCTGATGTTTGTGTTGTGCTTAACTTAATAATTGTTACAAAGTATTACAAAAAAAATACCATACTTGCTTAAAGGTCAAGGCCACTGTGTGCAATTTCACTGTGGATACCAGCTTTATAAATGACTTATATTGTAAACTTTTACAGATTATTCATAGTTACCATATAAGTTTTCTTTGATTTATGAATAAAACCCTATTTAAATAAAGCAAGTAAATGATTTTGTCACTTCACCCCAGAGTGTGGACACATATACTTCTAAAGAGCACTTTTTTCTTTGATAGAAGAGACTGGTTAGATTCATGACTGCCAAAACTGCAAATAATTGAGTATTTAGTATTAATTTTGCCTTATATATATTTAAAATTAAATATTTTAGTATGTTTTTGTCTTATTTTTATTGTAGCTCTTCATTATGGACATTTTAGCCCATAAATAGCATGTTTATTAAGTTTAGGTGTGGCTTTGAAAACTACCCCTTTATAATAGACATTTTAATCCATAAATAAAATGTTGGTACAAAATATTGCAGCACTTAATCTCGGACATTTTTTTAGCCCCTAGTCCATTTAGCACATAAATCTTGAATGTTGGTCCGTCCGTCCGTCCTTCCTTCCGTCCGTCCGTCCATTCACTTTTGTGTCGCACGTAACTCAAAAAGTATTTGACCTAGAGTCATGAAACTTTACAGGAATGTTGATCAGCATGTGTAGTTGTGCACCTGGGTATTTTGGTCGGGATATTTTTAGTATTTTCAGAGTTATTGCCCTTGACTTAGTAAAATTTTGCAATTTTCAACTTGTGTCGCATGTAACTCCAAAAGTATTTGACCTACAGTCATCAAACTTTACAGGAATGTTGATCAGCATGTGTAGTTGTGCACCTGGGTATTTTCGTCTGGATATTTTTAGTATTTTCAGAGTTATTGCCCTTGACTTAGTAAAATTTTGCAATTTTCAACTTGTGTCGCATGTAACTCAAAAAGTATTTGACCTACAGTCATGAAACTTTACAGGAATGTTGATCAGCATGTGTAGTTGTGCACCTGTGTATTTTCGTGTGCATATTTTTAGTATTTTTAGAGTTATTGCCCTTGACTTAGTAAAATTTTGCAATTTTTAACTTGTGTCGCACATAACTCAAAAAGTATTTGACCTAGAGTCATGAAACTTTACAGGAATGTTGATCAGCATGTGTAGTTGTGCACCTGGGTATTTTGGTCGGGATATTTTTAGTATTTTCAGAGTTATTGCCCTTGACTTAGTAAAATTTTGCAATTTTCAACTTGTGTCGCATGTAACTCCAAAAGTATTTGACCTACAGTCATCAAACTTTACAGGAATGTTGATCAGCATGTGTAGTTGTGCACCTGGGTATTTTCGTCTGGATATTTTTAGTATTTTCAGAGTTATTGCTCTTGACTTAGTAAAATTTTGCAATTTTCAACTTGTGTCGCATGTAACTCAAAAAGTATTTGACCTACAGTCATGAAACTTTACAGGAATGTTGATCAGCATGTGTAGTTGTGCACCTGTGTATTTTCGTGTGCATATTTTTAGTATTTTTAGAGTTATTGCCCTTGACTTAGTAAAATTTTGCAATTTTTAACTTGTGTCGCACATAACTCAAAAAGTATTTGACCTAGAGTCATGAAACTTTACAGGAATGTTGATCAGCATGTGTAGTTGTGCACCTGGATATTTTCATCTGGATATTTTTAGTATTTTCAGAGTTATTGCCCTTGACTTAGTAAAATTTGGCAATTTTCAACATGTGTCGCACATAACTCAAAAAGTATTTGACCTACAGTCATGTAACTTTACAGGAATATTGATCAGCATGAGCAGTTGTGCACCAGGTATTTTCGTCTGGATTTATTTAGTATTTTTAGAGTTATTGCCCTTCACGTAGAAAATTTTTGCAATTTTCAACTTGTGTCGCAAGTTTCTCAAAAAGGATTTGACATAGTCAATAAACCTTATGGGCTTATGTGGATTTATCCAGTATTTGTAGAGTTATTTCCCTTGACTTAGTAAAAAGATTGACAGAACGGTGTCGCGGTGGGGGCACCCGTGTCCTATGGACACATTTCTAGTTTATGCCTCCAAAGGGAGGCATATTAAAATCGCACTGTACGTCTGTCTGTCCACACTACCCAATAGGGATAGGGGGCCATCTAACTGTAAACAGAACAAAAGAGAAAAATAGAATTCATTCCGTAACAATAGAATAAGGGGCCATGGCCCTCTATTAAACAAAAGAAAATAACAATAGAAATGTTGCTTTATCCCTAATTGGTCAGACGTCTGTCCATCTGTGTGTCCCCATTTCATTCGTGTCCTGACTTAGACTGTAACTTTGTGATTTTGAAATAACTTGGCACAAATGTCTACCACATCTAGAGGATGTGTCACGTCCAAGAACCACATACCTACCTCAAAGGTCAAGGTCACGCTTTCATTTTGAAGTTTCACATTATCACAATTAGAGTTTATAGGTACACTCAATTATCATGTCCGGGCTGTAACTTTGTGTCATGCATCGAAGGATTTTAGAATAATTTGGCATAAATGTCCACCCCATAGAGACGATGTGTCATGTTTAAACATCACATCCCTACCTCAAAAGTCAAGGTCACACTAACATTTTGAAGTTTCACTTCATCACAATAAGAATTTATAGGTACACACATTTGTGTCCGGACTAAAACTTTGTCGTGCATCAAATTATTTTAAAATAAGTAGGCATAAATGTCTACCACATCAAGACGATATGTCGCGTATTAGAATTACGTCCCTACCTCAGAGGTAAAGGTGGCACTATCATTTTGAAGTTTCACATTATCACGATTAGATTTAATAGGTACACACAATCATGTCCGGGCTGTAACTTTGTCATGCATTGAAGGCTTTTAGAATTACTTTGCAAAAATATCTTCCACATTGAGAGGATGTCGCACCAGTAATCATATCCCTACCTCACAGGTCAAGGTCACACTACCATTTTGAAGTTCACTTTATCACAATTAGAGTTTATAGGTACACACATTTGTGTTCTGACTATGACTTTTTCATGCATCGAAGGATTTTAAAATAACTAGGCATAAATGTCTACCACATCAAGACGACATTGCGAGACTAAGACCCATGTTCCTACATTCAAGGTCAAGGTCACACGTACAGTTTGAAGGTACATTGTACTCATTATCTCAAGAAGATACACATTCATGTCCGAACTGTAACTTTGTCATGCATGGACTGATTTTGAAATAACTTGGCACAAATATCAACCACATCAAGAGGATGTGTCATGGCTAAGGCTCATGTCCGTCTGTGTGTCCCCACTTACACAACAATCATGTCCAGACTGTAACTTTGTCTTGTATGCATTGAGGGATTTTGAAATATCTTGGCATAAATGTCTATGTCATTCTGTCGCATCCAAGAACCCTTCCCTTCTTCAAAGGTCAAGGTTACAGTTATATTTTGAAGTGTCACGCTATCACAATTAAATATTATAGGTACAATAATACAAAGAACAATATTAAGCAATTAGTTAATTTCATTCTCTTTTCTTTTCATAATAAAAAACTGCATGCTTAAGAAACCTTTTCGGGGGCATTCGTCACTTGCGTGACAGCTCTTGTTTATCTATATAAATTATCTTCGTGACTTTGTTAATCACTCATATACCAACACATTATACTCGGCATAATACATAATGTAGTAATGTACCATTAGGTGGAGCAATAGCTCAGTTGGTTAGACCACTGGCTGTCACTCCTGAGGTCCGGGGTTCCATCCTGGGTAACACTTTTGGGATTTTTCAGAGACACTTTCAGTGTTTCCCACCTAACTAGATGTGTATTGGTAAGAAATCCAGGTAATCCTCGCATGTATTAGTGCTATACACTGGGCATGTAAAAGAACCAAGGGGTCTATTCAATAAGAGCTAGGGACTGGTTCCCAGATTCCCTTGTATCTCATAGCTGTTTCTGAATTGACTATTTTAGAGTCATGTCTACATCCCCGCGAGGGGTTTGACATTAATGGAAGATACATGAAGATAGACCATTGAATCAGTTTCATACCCAAAATTACTTTGGTGTCACAAAACCAGGTACATCTACATATGTAATTTAACCCAGAATGTTAACTTTGACAACTTTTTAAAAAACAGAAGGCATACATATATTTACCAAACACTAGGCTTCTTAGATAAGGGAAAACATCAGTCCATTCTGAAATCTTTAAAATGTACAGCTTACAAGACACTTAAGTCTTGTCTCACTCAGACACCAGCTCGAGGACAGTTCCAGTGTCTGAGCATTATACAATGAAGCTCTCTCATTGACCAGGTTGAATCAGTGCAGCCCAGGGACCTCAAATCCAGAGTTTTACTTATCTTTGATTCCCTAGAGTGGAGGAGGCTAGAACAAAAAAGCATAAAATAGCGCCTTATTATGTTTGAAAATATCTTACAAATAAGGCTGTGATCCTTCTTCCAGGTACAGTACCTCAAGCTGTTAATTCCCTTTTGCATGCTGTTAAACAAATTTTAAACACAACCAAGTACTATGCAAATAATAATTCTTCCCCATGATGATAAATCATCAGAATGCCTTACCCCCAAGATGTTGTCATCTTGTCTGGGTAAATTTTCAGTAAGGCTGTTAGCCAGATTTTAAAAATTCTTGGCACAAGTGCTCACCATTCAAAACATCAAAACAAATTTTGTTGTCCAGCACAATATTGGGGACCTACATCATCTTAAGTGATGAATGTTGTTTTAATTAGCAACTGATTTACCATTGCGACCAGTACAGACCAAGATCAGCCGGTTTTTCTGTGCTGTTTGATACTGTACTGTACTGTTTGCTATTCAATAGTATATCTTTTGAAATTTTCCTTATTAAAAGATGAAGAATGTTTTTGTTTAAATTGAAAGATAGACAAGTTCATTTTATTTTAAGATATGGTAATGGTTAAATATTGGCACATGTATTATACATCTTAAATGTTTCATTTTGTTTTCAGGTAAGAGATAGACATTAAAGATGTTGACAAGAGAATTATTTCAAGTAGCTTCAGGTATTTAGTTTTGAGTCAGTTCCTCTGTAATATACTATCCATCCAACTTGAGTTAGTTTGGTAGTTATTATATTCATTACTTGTTCCAAGTGCCTTTTGTTTATTATATTCACCCTTTTTTGTCATAGATGAAATTCTATACTTCAGTTCGGTTTCAGTATAAATGAGAATTTTTTCTGGTCATGTTTTGCTCAGTAGAATACATTGTGTACATTTCAATTATTTAATGGTTGCCTTGTGTAGGTTTTTTATCTGTAAATTTGAATAATTCTAAATTGTCTGTTTAGAGTTTTATGAACAATTACCATACAAACACACATGTATTTTCATATCTCAAGTGTTATAAATAGTTTGTAGACCTTTTAACATATAGCTTTATGCCTTTAGTGTATTTTAATACAGGTATAATTCTTTAAGAATTTTGTTTTAATGTGTACATATATTTGAATGAATTATTTTCAAAATTGTTTTGATAATGAATTTATTTTTCAGTTTCGAGGCTCAATATTCTGACTGGATCTCTACCCAAGAAGGGATATAATGGCTTTAGGTTGCCACACAATAGACTGCTACACAGTGTGTGTCGGACCGGCTGTAGCGACTCCAAACCTAGATACACTACTCAAACAGAACTAAAATCATTGAACTCTTTTAAGCATATCAGGGTTTACAGTAGTGAAAACCGACAAACTGCCTTATCTGTGATGAAAGATTTAAAGCATTTGAAATCTTCACCATTTCCTGCTCTCGTTCTTGGTGGTGCCGGATTAATTCCATTCATAGGAGCACCTCTTTACATGGTAACAACAGGTGGTTTTGTCGCTAGTTTAGCTTATAGTCAGGTTGCGTATGGTGCAGTTATTTTATCTTTCGTTGGAGCGGTCAGATGGGGTATGGCATTATCTGACAATGGAGTTGTCCGGCCGAACTGGATCAATCTTGGTTATAGCGTGACTCCGTCTCTAATTGCCTGGGTGGCATTGATGATGCCTACGCCTTTTTCGCTGGCAACACTGATGGTTGGTCTTGGTGGTGCAGGTTACATGGATATCACAATGTACGGATATCCATCTTGGTTTAAAGCAATGAGGTTTCTTCTTACAATCACAGCAATTTTATCGCTATGGACAACTTTACTTTTCCATTATGTGAAATTTGGTTCGGCAAAGAATAAAAAATCTGAAGTAAAGAAAGGTAAAGAAGTCAAGCAGTCCATAAAGGATGTAGAAAAAGCCGTTGCTCAAGCTGTGTCAGAAATTGATCCAGTGGCAGATGTTGTATTAGGTGGTAGTAAACAGGGAAGTAGAACATGGAGAATTGATACGAAAGAAAAAGGGAATGTTTCGAAAGAAAACAGGAACAATAATTCTGAGTTAGGAGTATTACAGGCTGTTTCAGAAATTGACCCAGTGGCAGATGTCGTTCTGGGAGGATATAGGTCCGGTCAGAATTATAAAGCTGGTACAAGGACTGAACAAAATGTTAAAGGTAACTCAGAGGTAGCAGTCATGCAAGCTGTTTCAGAAATTGATCCTGTTGCTGATCTGGTTTTAGGTGGAAATAAAACGTCAGATTTGAGATCTAGGTCAAAATAAACTTTTCAGTCACAAGATATACAAACAGAGGGAGATTTGTGAATGCTTTATCAAAATAACAGATATAATTATGATGAAAGTCAATTTTTTAAAGAAATACAAGTGTTTTTGTCTCAAATACATTTGTATTTGATATTTATTTTGGATAAAAGAACTATTGCAGACAATGTAACTATTTTGATCCACATGTCCACAAAGAAACTAATTTTTCAGTAAAACATAGATTTTTGTAGGATTTTTTTTTCAAAGGTCAACTGCTGACACAAGATATCTCATCTTTGTTTGTTTATTTTACAGTATTATACTTGTATAATTCTTAAGCATGTAAGATGTCTCGCTCTCTAAAGTGTGGAGTTTAGACATTGGATTTATTTTCCAAATTAACCTGCTGGATTTCTTAAATAGTCTTATCCAGCTTCTTTCTTTGGAACTGTCCATTTTCCTTTAGGTATATCGAGATGATAAAATTATTCAGTCAACAGTATAGAGCCTGGTCACACTGGCATATATATGCGGGTTGTTCTGGCTCTATTCTAAGAGGAAAGGCTCACCAGTTTTGGTTCCCAGCATGGTTAGGGTTGAAGGCAAAATTATAGATATTATAGTAACAAAAAATTATCATAGATAATAAGTAACAAAAAATTATCATACATGTTATACTAATTGCTTATTGTTGGAAAGCAATATTGATGTAAAACAAAGTGACACTAGAGGAGTGCATTAGGAAATGACATTTTGATTCTTGTCTCGATTATGTCAGCTGAATTTTTTTAAAAGTTTTGAATCTCTTTATTCAGTGTCTATTCTAGGAGGGGGGTGGGGGATTCACTCATATTTTTGAGAATTCCCCTCTAGGCAGGGGGAAAATTTTACATAGATAAGGAGGGGAAAAGATCAACAAATGTAATAAATTCTCATTTTTCGATAAAAATCCCCCGTTTTTCGAATCCAAGAATAGACACTGCTCAATTTGTTTTAGCTTGAGTAGTTTAAAGGTTAGGAAATGTGATCAACACATTTCTAATAACTGTTGTTTATTGTCATTTAACTTAAAAAGTAATTACATTTCATTCTTACAACACACTACCCTCAATTTTAAGACACATTGCATTTATATATTGGAATAGTCAATAATATATTTTTATTTGTGTACTTTTTAAAAAGATTGTAGTATTTTGTATTTTTAAAATGAAGTTAATATATTTCTAGAACGATGGGTAAATATTTATTCATTTTCATGTACATGTATCAAATTTACATTGTAAAGATTTGATTTTTTCCACTATTTCGTTCTTGACATGAACTAGAGTGATAATACATGTATTATAATTTTAAGACAACACCTTTCCTACAGACCACTCATTTCAATTCTTTTAATCTGGTTTTTATTGTGTTTGTTCATTCGCTCACCTGAGCACAGTTCTTAGAGTCAAACTTTTGTGATGGAAATGTGTCCTATATTTGTCCTCCATTGTCTGTTGTTATCAACAGTTGCTTAAAACAACATCTTCTCCTATACTACAAGCTCTTTACTGAAATGATTATCAGGTGACCCTGTATAAAATGTCTTATGTATAAGGTCAAAAGAAATTAAAAGTAGACTTGAAAAATGAAATCTTGAAAATCCTCTTCTTCAAAAATTTTCCTGCCCAGAGCATAGATATTTGGCATGTAGCATCACTGTGTGGTCCTCTACACAAGATTTAATCATGAAAAAAATTCAACCCATACTAGGTTCACTTAGGATGTTTTTTGATGAGAAAACACATTTTTAGTGTCCAGCTTTAATTGTCATCCAATGAAAAACGCTGTATTTTTTCAAAATTCTGTGTGTTAATTTTTCATAGAAGAACAAATCCGATACTATCGAATTTCGTTCATAGTCGACTTCTATTTTTCATAGTACTTCATAAAACCGCATAGTGACGTAATAAAGTAAATAATAATGAGGCCAAATAAAGCTTGACACTAAGTATGTTAGTATTCATCCTTAGCTGTTCTACAGAAATTAGAAACATTCTCCTGTCGCTTACACTCCCGTCGAAGTTTCTAATTTCTGTAGAATAGCTCGGATGAACACTAACATATAAGTGAAACTACAATGCCCAGAGCAAAGATGTTTGGAATGTAGCATCCCAATTTGGTCTCTACATTTTCATAAATCTTGCAGCTAAGCTAGGGTCAAAATGACACGCCCAATGTGACTTAGTTACTTACTAATGCATGCACTTTAGCATTGAATTATTGTTTTTTAGCAGTGCATTTCAGGTGAGAGATCTAGGGTCATTATTGCCCTCTAGTTTATATACCTATGTATTACGATTCTTGTAACAGTACATGTATAGTATTTGTATTGTGTTTATTATCTTTAGGATTTAGTTATGAGTGAATCAAATTTTCTGTGATACTTTTAGGGATGTTTATGTAGGTGTAGAAATATTTGACCATTCCTTAGGGTGATTGGAACCTGTGTGTACATTTGTGTTTCCTGCTTTGTAAGAATTAAACAATGTGAACCTTTGCATTTATATTGGCATGTCATGCCACTGTTTCTATCTGTGTTCTACTTGCTTTCAAACAATAATGGCTACACATGAAGATCCTTTGATATTAAGACCTAGTTGTTTTATTTTTACTATAAAAATTCTAACATTTTCAAAATCGGATTTGGTTGGTCACTTTGCAACATAGGTTTGACCCTTTGCCCCACTTTTGATGTTAATACATTGTATATTCTTTGTGTACATAAAAATAATTTGGATACAATTATACTGTTAATGTAGGAAAGCAAACTTTGGGCCATCTATACTCTTACATTGTACATTTGTTTTTTATTCTTCTAGTTTGCTAAAATAAGGGAAATCATTTGTTTCATTTTTTGACTATAAAAAAAAAGGAAAGAACATGGCTTTTTACACACAAAGTTGATAATTTTCAAAAAATGTTTACCTATGCTTTTTACCATTTTGTTATATTTTTACAGATGTATTTATATAAATATACCATTACATATGATTATGTAGCCATAGAAAGGTGTTATTGCATAGTACAAATAAAGTTTGAAGACAAAGCCTCTAACTAAAGTTTTTATGGTGTTATCAGAAGTATTTTTTTAAAAGACATCATGATCATCGGATACCCAAAGCCGAACCATAAACATTTATCAGCCGTGGGATTTTTCGCCGATATCAAGTCGATAAGAGGTGTGAAAGACAGCTTTTTCATTGGTTGCCTCATGATTTCATGAGGCAAATAAAACCAATCAAAATGCTTGTTCTATATACGACGATTTGGGCAAACTTTATTTCTAGAAAAAATATTACTATTGTGGTCTCTGCTTTTGGAATAATAAAGTATGGGGGATAGGTTTGCCTTTTTTATTGACAAGACACATTTAACAGGTCTCCACCATGGGCGCTGCTATTTTGTTTCTGATAGTTGTTAACCTTTGCTGTCAAACAATATAAATATTGCTAAACACGATTTCATTGGTCAGTTATTTTACGCACATGTTGCTGTATATCTACGCAATTTGATTAAATTTTTCTACGGTTGATTACATGTTGTTACATGTAAATCAACTGTGGGTATCCGTGGCTCACATTTAGTAGTAAACTACCAACTCATTGCCCTGACAGTGGCATCTGTAAATTTGGTCACCTTTATGTTTGCTATTTAAACAGGGAATGGACAAAATATCTTACATGCTGAATACCGTCCGGATACTTAACACCGTTTTTTTTCGGCAAAATTAGGTAGAATTTTCACAAGCTTGTGTTGGAATTGAAGCAGGTATTACCTAATACTCTTTTCAAGGGTATAATAAACAACACATTTTCTTTTTCATCTTTTTAATATATAAATACAAGCAACATCAAATACCAATAAATCTACTGAAAAAATACTCTGTATAGATAATAAAAGAAATATCACAGTTTTTTGTTAAAATAAAAATAATTTAGAAATAAAAATAACACAAAATGAAAATATCTATTCTAACAATAACTGAATATCACTGAACTCTTAATGTGAAGTTATAAATATGGCTATGAAAACAATGCCTGTTAAAAGGTTCAGCTCAGTGAAATATTTTGGGGCACCTGGACGGAAACATGGACCTTACCTAAGCTTGCTTCATCACATGAAAGAATATTAAAAATGTGTAATAAAGATCTGAACCCATACATAATGATTCAAAGATAGTGACTATGATAATTTGGCCACAAGAGAGGCTTTTGTCAACATTTTAGTGAAATGAATCTGTGATAAGTTAAATAAGAACATTTCTAGATCACTACAATGTGTTTTGTCAATAAAACACATTCTTTTGAAGAATTATTATCTAGATTGATAGGTGTTCTCAATTCATATATCAAAATATACCTAAACAGGTGTTTAAAAGTCAGGGAGTAGTAGGAGATGTAAGCAGGTCATAACCACAAAACATTGAAGAACAGGTGAGTTGACTAAATGCCATTTTCCTATCTGCACAAAAAAAATTAAAATATTAAACATTCTGCAAAAGGTATGCTCAATGTATGCACAATTCTAAAAATTCTGTTCTAACAATATCAGAAACAGAAAACAAATACTTCAATAGAACACCTGTGGACCTGTCAGTGGAGAACGTGATACACTATTCTCGGGGCTTGATAGGAAAACAAGAGCCTGTTTTAAAATGGGCCATAATCATGTCAAAATCCTTGTTAAGAGTTGTAGACCTTGGACAGTGACCTCCTATTATGCTCTTAAATGAGTGTTTTTCAACCATTTCCCTTCAGAAGTTTCGGAGAAACCAAGTTGCACTCAAAACCTTAACCAAAGTGTCGTACGAGTAAGCATAAAAGCTCCCTCTATAACAGACAGGCTAAAACTAAGAGATTTGCATATATTTAAAAGAATATTCAATACTGACAAAGCACCAGCATTACTCTAATAGGCTTCACAAATATCTTATGTGTTTGAATAAATATTAACATGTTACTATATGATACCATAAAATATATATAAAATATAAAAATAACTCTGATGACTAGTGTGATTCAGGTATATATATTTAGTTTCCAATCTGCAAATTCTCTTAAGTCCAATCAACAATAAAGACTTGCTTTAAGATCACTAGTATAGAACCAGGCCATTCTGCACATCTGCCCAATCTAACCAGTCAATACACTGCTGATTTATCCATTTTAAAATCTATTACTTTATAACATGAACAACATTGGACAGTTTCATAAATTTAGACATGTAAATGTTATATACAAATGCATAAAAGGACAAAACTGTTTTATTATTTAACATCTTTAAAAATCATCTTAAATGCATGTTTTAATGTTTAAATGAATAATCATGATGAATGATATAATATAAATATATTCTCCATGACCAACCTGCCTGTTTCATGCAGATTTCAATTATCTTTGGAAAGAAAACTTGAGCTTTAAAGTAGTCTTCATATAAAGATTTGGACATAAAACAAGTGATCACTCTTTGATAATTTTTATCACAAAAGTTTTATTTTCATTGTCGGAATTGACATGGGCATTTATTTGTTATGTGTGTGTGTTTTTGAGATGCAAAAAACACTGTTATGTTCATATTGCTTTTAATGAAAGAAGACTTCAAATCTATATATATGCATTATTTCTGGGAAAAGTGGGGACATGAATAGAACTACTTGCTTATGTAAGCTTAGCCTGATAGCTTCCTCATATAAAAAAATCCAAAGTTCATGAAAGAATTCAATTGGGGCACATTGTTTGAAGTCAATGATTTAAACCATTAGGCCATTTTGACCTGGATGTGGCAAAAGCGAAGAAATCACTTAGGTTTTTTACAGCTATTTATAATTTTCAGACTTTCAATGTCAAACTCCTTGTTGATAATATCTCAGCACTATAAGTTTTTGACACTTCACTTCCTTCAACTGCTCTTTAAACTATATTCAACTTTATATCAAGATTTACAAGTCAATTTGTAGGGCAATGGTCTATTTAGATAGGTTTTAATGTATGAGTACATAGAAATTTTTGTATTGAGCAAATGGAATGTTTTGCAGTATTATACAGCAATACACATAACTTAATAATTAATATACAAGTCATATCTGTCAGATAGGAAAGTATTGTATGTAGAAATTACAAAAATAAGCTGATAAACCAAGTCTGTTGAAAGATGTGAACATTTAAAAACAAAAACAAAACAAAAACATAAAAACTTTGCAACTTGTTTCTTTAAAGTTAATGCATATCTTTACTAAAGATTCAATTTTTGTATTAATCATTGAAATTGAAGCAATTAAAGCAATTTCTAACACATTAATTTACAGTTTAATCATAGCAATCAAAGTAGTTTCTAACACATTAAAGTTTAATCATTGCATGCGAAGTAGTTTCTAACACATTCCATAGTTAAATCATTGCAATTCAAGCAATTTCTAACACATTACAGTTTAATCATAGTAATCAAAATAATTTCTAACACATTACATAGTTTAACGCTATGGCATTTTGTTGACAATTAGAAAATACAGTTGCCATGGATATTAAATAGCTCAGGTAACATCAAATTGTAATAGTTTATTTATTTCCCTTGCAAGCTTTCTTTAAAAATTCTTTTTAACATCCTTACAGTTTTGTAACCATTTTTGTACACAAAGTGTCATCATGTATCTACATAATGTTCCCTAAAGTGTGAAGTCTGTGTAGTTATATGCGTTTCTGGCTCTGTGTTAATTTTATCTTGCTCCGTGGTATGAGTACCTGACTCCTCATCCTCATAAATACAGACCATGTTCACAGGTCCATGTGCACTCACAGAACTCAGGGTTTTGGGGCTTGGAGGAAGTCTGCAAGACATAAAGGAAAAACAATACTAGTTAATTAAATTGTCAATTAATTTAACAAATTAATAGAAGTAATTAATATAGCTTTTTTACAATTTAGATATTATTATTGAAATGTAAAGTAAAAAAAAACTTTGTTAGATTTTTTTAGAACAAGAAAGCATTCCATGCAAGCATTAATAACTAAAATTAGAACAGCATTATATGACTATTATTATTCTAATGAAGTGTTCTGTATATTTTCATTATTTTCAATATTATCATAGTACAAAGATGATATGAAAAGGAATGTTCAGAAACTGAAAGATTTACAATATTGTATAACAGCAAATCACAAAACGGTGTAAAAAGAATTAAAATTGTTTGGTAAAGAAAGTGCCTACCAGACACCAATGCTACTCAGTCAGTCTCCAAGCAACCAGGTTCCCTTAGCAACCAGGTTTCCCCCTAGCAACCAGGATGATTTCCATAGCAACCAACACAAGTTATTGAGGCAAGGTAGAGCTAAGAGCACATCTGGGAGGTTATTAAAGCAAACATTAAAAAAAAAATGTCACAGAAAGCAAGTATCGGCAGATGTTTAGCGGGAAATTACACAATTTCAAAGCTAAATTATTATATCTAATCTCAAATCATGCAATAGGGAAATAACAAAGTGAAATGTAAAGCATCAACTTTTGGTAGCAGATACTTAAAATAAATTTTCTTGTAAAATGTATTATAATTTTATATCCTTCAATTGAACAGAAAAAAAAATACAAAGAGATTTAGTAGTTATATCTAGTATTAGATTTCTATGCAAAAATAAATCAATATTTGTAATTCTTTAAACATATATACACTTTGGAAAGTCTTTTAAACATATATAACACTTTGAAGCTCCGCTCCTTTTTAGCTTTCTTATTTACGAAGAACAATCAATATGCACTCTAACCTATACATCAAACAATATTTGTAATTCTTTAAACATATATACACTTTGGAAAGTCTTTAAACATATATACACTTTGGAAAGTAAGTATTAATAATTTTAAAGTTTACAAACTAATTAAGAAGCAAAATCACTTGTCATTCTACAAAAGTTTCTTCGAATATCAGTCCTTTTTTTATCCTGTCTGAAAATTTTATTGAATGAATAAACATTATACTTTAGTGACACAACATTGATGAATTTCTTTACACACATTGTATTTTCTGTAAAAAAATGTTTGCTTGAGTTTTTCATATAGACATAGAAACAGAATGAAAATTGTTTCAAAGGATTTATTTCATGTTTGCATCATTTTCAAATATCATTTAACTCAAAAACAAGATCTGCCTCCTCTAAATCCTATGAAATAGTTTTCATTCATTATGGTTTATATGTCTACATAAAAAATATAAATTAAATGTTCTTTTTAAATATTCTTATTAAATTTCAAATGGAACATAATTATTAAAGGCCCATTATGTCTCAGAAATGCTGTCAATTTTAGTTTCTCAAAAATGTATCTCTTCACAGTTTCCGAAAATATTGCTCATTTGCCAAATAGATGAAATATCTTTTGTTCCGATTGCAGTTGGTGTCATTATAGTGAATGAGTCAAAATACTACTTTGCATGCATTTTGCTACTTTTATGATACATTACTGCACATTCAGCGCTACTATCTTCAGTTGTTTAACATCTAACATGCTTTAAATTTAATATCAATACATTATTAAACACAATTTTGACATTTCTAATGATTGAAAAAATATATGAATTTCTGAGACATGACGAGCCTTTAACAAACAAATTATGTGAGTGAACTAACGAAGCAGTTAGGCATAACAGAGGTAGGTCTATACAATGGGTAAAAAACGCCATTCAAATATCTAATTCTTTTTAAACATTCTAATTCTTAATTCATTCTCAAAAACAAACAAAATTGAAGTAAATACTTTAATAGGTGAGTACTTGGGGTTATAATAATGTCAAATGAGCACTCTAAAGCAATTCTAGTAAATAAAGTACCGAAACTTTCGTTCCAATTTTAGATCTAAAAGGTTTGCCCATTTCTGTGTGGGATTATAAGCAGGATGGTCCGCCCTTAAATTACAAAACATATCCATTTACAACTGAACCTGTAGGTGTCAATGTACTATCTTGCTTGAAAATATGTTGAAGATTCACTTAGTATGTGTGAGTAAAAATCTGAGTCAAATATTTGGGAGGAAAAAAAGAAAAAAACAACATTTTTACTAGAGCAACGTATATAGGAATGCATAAAAATGAATTTGAAATATAAATTCTTGAATAATTTCAAAAATCTAAAGTCTTTTGTTCTAAAATCATAACTTTAAACACGGAGAATACACTGGAATGTGCGGAAAGGATTATTCTAAATGCAAAAAAAAAAGCTTTTTCAAATGAAAGCTCTACAGTAAGTTATTAATTTTTGGCACTAAAACTAAATATTTATCTTAAGTACATCTAAACGGTGATGCCAAGATAATGTCCAACATATTTATGGTTTATCTAAACAAATACTGACAACTTTCCACATTACATTTATATTACAAACACATACAAATATTTTAGTCATAAAAAAAAATATCCACTTATTACCAAAGATACAACAGTAACATTTTTAAGACGCACAATTCACCATTTAACACACTGACAAAATTTAAACGTTTAATACTGTTAAACATATATAGGCAATTCAGGCAATTACAAAGACAAAATATCTCCATGTACAATAATAGGTACGAGGAAATTATGATGTGAATTCCTTTTATACACTTACCACATGCTTCATCTTATCTCAAATAGAAAATAGACACTTAAATATCACTGCCCCATACTTAATTTTATATTTAGGTCAAAAAGAACAAATTTGTTTCTAGTTGTAATACTATTTTTCGCTTGATTATCTAGCCTATACTTAAAGAATGCAACTCTTTTCTATTTGTTACCCACAGAAGTATTTATTTACAAAGTTATTGTAATGTCTGTTGTTACAAATGTAACCTTGATGGAATAAAAGAATATATTGTTTTGTATAAGATGTTTGTTATACAAATCTCGAATAAGATATTGGCAGTAAGTGTTCTTTACGGCATAAAAAAGTTGAAAGTGTCTGACAAACCATTGAATATACAAAAAATGTCAGCATAAATTGCTTGATTAGAAAATACCATCCACAAAATGGCTATGAAGGAGTGTTAAAAACAAGGATGAAAAAGACAATGTAAAATTTGACACACTTCACTTAACTCTTTGTTTCCAAAATTTTAATGTTTAAATCCATTGTACAAAAAATGGCCAGTTCAAAACTCAAAACAGAAAAATGTCTTTAGATGAATTAAGCAGGTTAAAGGTTAACTCGTAACTTTGTACGCTGCAGCCCCGTTATAACGCTCATGTTGGGGTCTAAGGTCTGACCATCGCATTATAACGAGGTTCTGATATAAAACATTCATCGCGCAATTGCCACATTACCAGTGTATATGGAAATATTGTTTTGGACTTGTAATTGCCTGAAATGTCATTAATGTACACAAAAAAAACATGACTGTCACGACTGAGATAAACTATGGCTGTAAGAAAGATGACCGAGATGTGGCTAGCTCTACCTATACACCATATCTTGTGCAGGTTGCTCGTGCATTCCGTAAGTTCCGAGTCGCCGTGGGATACCTAGCTGATGGTACAATGGGTGGTATTCACTTAGGTCCAACATATCTGGGAGCTGTGACGGGTCATGTGACCAACGTGGTGAGCCAACACGACTTCCTACAATGAGGAGAGTATCACACAGTGCAACACGGGATAAATAACACAAAAACGTGAAAAATAAAATAGAACTGAACAACATTCTATGTCAAGGTAATATTTGTTAATGAATAAAAGACAATTGAACCATAATTAATTAATTAATGAATTAACTTAATTGCATTTACAGCAGTTACTCCAAAAACACATTAATGGCCAAAAGACAAGACACATATCATGCCATTATTTTCAATCTATTCACCTCCGGATACAAAATTTTTTACCGGAGAGTGGGCCACAATATGACTCCCTTAATACCCACACCTCCCGATCCATGCATATTTATTTATGTACATGTCTATTGCACTCAAGTTAAAATTATTCTAAAGAAACTAAACATTTATTTAATTTCTTTCAAGACAATTTTTCTCAATGTTTAGCAGTCCCAACCAGTGCATATACACAGATGTTAAATTACTTATTTTATGAGCATATATTTACGTTAATGATAAACAATGTTAGACAAATTCAGTGGGGGTTTTTCAAAGGGATAACAAAATGCATGTGTACAATGTGTGTGCAACATATAATAAAATCCCATACCCTGTTCCACACTAAAAAACACAGTAAATTAACACATGTTGTGCATGTATATACCAAATATTCTAATATAATTCAAATTCGTATTCTACTTCTTCCGAAATATCAAAAATATGATATTGCACTGAAAATATATTATCAACATAGATAACAACATGGAAAAAAAAATCTTGTTCTTATATTCAAAAACATGTAATAAAATATCGTTTACTACCGACATATAACCATTAAGATTTTTTTTCTGAAATCTGGGGCCTTCATGACCAAGTGGTTACAGTTTCTGACGTGAAATCAGTGCTGTGGGTTCTAATTTCATTAGGTACTTCTTGTAAAGAAGCTATCCAGCTAACTTACAGAGGGTCAGTGGTTCTTCTAAGGTGCCTGAAATAATGCATGGATGGGCACCTTCGGTCTTCCACCAGTAAAGCTGGAAAGTCACCATATCACCATTATAATCGGTCACCTAAAAACCTAACAATTTTTCCCTTCATAAATGGCGAAAATCTTTAATTCACTTTCAGCATTCAACTTATAAGAAACTTTCAGGTCATGCTGTGGTCTTATAAGAAATTAATGATTATTCCTTGTTTTAATTGTCAAAATTCTGAACATATTCTGTCAGTACTTTACCTTGCATCATGGCCTCATAGGCAAGTGATGATGGTGTTACAGGGTGTGATCTTCTTGTCTGTCTGTAGAGGAAAAATATTTAATAAATCATTTTATTTTAAATGTAAACTGCTCAAAATAGCTTATTTAAATACAAAAGTGAACCATCCATCAACTGTTTAAATTGCTGAAGTTAAGTACTGAAGAAATTTGATCTAGATAATAAGTTCATAACTATGGTGGCTGATTTGTACCATGTCGTATTTTTGCTCTGCAGGGTGCCAGATGAAAACATGACAAAGTAATGTCATATTATTGTAATTTCGCCTTGCGCCCCACAGCTTTTTGTACAAGTACCTTCATGAGTATGGAGTTATTAATCTTCATTTTAACTTCATTCTGAAAGAAGTATGTAATGCTCTAACATATACAGTATATATCTTCTATACATACTTAAGGTATGTAACAATATTGAATTTATGTACATGTAATACTGTCCTGGCCAAATTGATAACAATAAAGTTTTATTTACAAAAATGTTCAAAAGGTTATATTTTACTACATGTACCAAGTTACATGTTTCAGTTATACCTGTTTAATGTCCTTGCTGCCACAGCAGATCTTGGTCTATTCATGCTGTCAGGTAGACCTTCTTTCCATCCTGGTACATGACCTGACATTGGCCTCCTCTGAATGGACTCCCAGTAGAGGTCACGACCTCCTCCCAACCAATCATTGGCTTTCTTTACAGAAAGGGAGGAGCTAGGGCGTGTCTTAGGATCAGGTGATGTAGGTCGTTGAGGTGGAGGTGTACCCTGTCTTGCTGTTTTAGAAGGAAAAAGATACATGATAAAACAAAACATCTTGCTATGTTAAATACAGAAACTACAATGTCTTATATTGATGTATTTTTAAAACATAATTTTTTACATATCTGATTACGATAATATGTAATTTTTTTACAAAGTAATGCACACAAATTATTAAATACATAAATTTTCTTCCCAATATCTAGGATCATCTTTTTAAAATCAATGACATTCATATATCATAAATTATACAATTTTTTCATTGGAACCTAAAATTGAACTGTGTTTTGTTGTGGGTTTTTTCTTTACAAAAAATCAATATGCCTTCTGTCATATAATAAAATTAATAATAATATTTTCCTATTCAAGTCATATAATGCTAATTATGCTCTCTATTATGCGCAGCTCATGCACTCTATGAATATACAGATATATAAATACATCTAAACAAGACTAGTTTTAAATTCACTTTAAATTTATCACTAATTTATAATTTTATGTCTAAGGATAATATATATAACAAATCTACTTTTATCTAAACAATTTTGCAATTTTGTGAATGCTACAATTCTCTTGAATTATTATTACATTAAATACAATCAATTGTTGCAAAGTAAGATCCATTAATCTCAAAATATTTATACCAAAGTTTCATTTGACCTAACCCTGCCAAGATTTGTGCCACATATAATATTAGCATGTCAATAGGATAATAAAATCGAGCTGTGGTCAAATGGCACAAAATTTAATGTGTTTGCCAGCTTGGCACTGAACTGGTGGTAAATACTTATTCCCATATATAAAACAATGAAACTAATTTAATTTACAAATTATTTGTTTTTGAGTAACCTTACAAAAGCACATAAAATCAATAACAAAATCAATCAATAAAAAAATAAAAATAAAATCCAAATAGCACCTATATTTATAAAGCAAAATTCCCAGCAATAATAATTCCAGCAACCAAATATAAAAGATATAAAACAAAATAATTTATGTTCAATAATCTGAATAACTATGACTACTTAAATAAATGATATACAAGCACAATTCTACTAACTAATTGCCTTTAAATATTATATAAAATGGAAAGAACTATTTATTGGAAATAATAGAATCAAGTCTAAAATAAAACAGTATCAACATTTACAGCAATCAAATTAGAAAATGAATTTCTTCTTTTTTCCAAATTGCCATTTTGAACACTGGTGGTAAACAGCAAATAAACACATGTGAAGTTTGGGGGGTATTTTGAGCACAGGGTAGTAACACTGCAATTCAGAAGGTAAAAAAATGACAAAAATTCATATCCAGTGCAAACTGCAGGTAAACTGAAAAATATTCTTTTTTTTTCACTTTGAACATTATAGTTAAAAGTAGTAGGGGGCAGGGAGCAAGTGTTAATGCTGTCAAGTTGGTTGGAACAGAATTGACTGTAGAAATACTGGAATGATAGCTTTTGGTGCATTATTTCAGGCACAAACAGGCATTTGAGTACCTGAGTAGAACCACCAATGTTCCATACGTAAGCTAGCTGTATAGCTACCCCACATGAAAGAATTCAAAGCACTTGTCCAGATTTGAATCCACAGCGGTGAGGTTTGAAGTCAACAATCTTAATCACTTGGCCAGGAACTCACCTATAAAACTATGCACAAAATAATGTTTGGTGGGTAGACAATGGTGACTGATCCCAAGAAGAAGTTTGAATGAACCAAATACTTTCCTTGGAATATACTGTATTTTCATGAGGAGGTTGTCAAAAAAAAAAAAAAAAAATTATGAAACAGATAGGGACAATGTTTATTATCAAGGATTTTACATGACACAGAACATAATTTTATTGAATAATATTGGGCACAAGAAATTGAATTTTCTCTTCTGGCTGGTTAGTATTGAACAATAATGATAGGAGTAAAGACACTAGAAATCAATACGTGGGTGGGGGTGGAGGGTGTAAATTTCAATTGGAATTATTATGGACAGAGAAAAATACAATAAGAATTAATACAGGGTGGTAAATTTCAATTGAATTATAGGCAGAGTAAAAATACACTAGAAATAAATACAGGGTGGTAAATTTCAATTAAATTATTATGGGCACAGTAAAAATACACTAGAATTTAATACAGGTTGGTAAATTTCAATTGAATTATTATGGACACAGTTAAAATACACTAGAAATCAATACAGGGTGGAAAATTTGGTAAATTTCAATTGAATTATTATGGGCACAGTAAAAATACACTAGAAATCAATACAGGGTGGTAAATTTCAATTGAATTATTTTGGGCAGAGGAATTAATATGGGTGGTAAATTTCAATTGAATTATTTTGGGCAGAGAAAAAATACACTAGAAATTAATACAGGGTGGTAATTTTCAATTGAATTATTTTGGGCAGAGGAATTAATATGGGTGGTAAATTTCAATTGAATTATTTTGGGCAGAGAAAAAATACACTAGAAATTAATACAGGGTGGTAATTTTCAATTGAATTATTTTGGGCAGAGGAATTAATATGGGTGGGAAATTTCAATTGAATTATTTTGGGCAGAGTTTAAATATACTATAATTAAATTATACTAGAATTTCTATAAATAGTGTTAATTTTCAATTAATTAATTTTGGGCAGAGTAAAAATATATAAGAAACCAACACAGGGTGGTAAATGTCAATCAAGTTGATGTGGGTGGGGTAATGTATATTACAGTGTAGATCAGTGATTGAGACAAGTTCTCCCCCGTCCTGACTCCATGTGCTCCCAGTGTACAATGACTCCATTGAGGTGCATGTACCAACATCCCTCGTGTTGGGATAGTCCACTACAAACTCTAAAATAGGCAGGTCAGGTATTGAAAAACCTTTAATTTGTATTATCATCATTTTTAGATGTCTTAATTCTGTTTAAAACACAATTCAGAACAAATTCTGGGTAATGAAACTGTTGATGTTGAAGAGATCAAAAAACTATAAATAATAAAAAGAAATTCAAATGACCTAACAGTTCCTATATTTCATTTTATTGCTGAAGAGCTTTTAGATTTCATAAATAATTATAACTGATTTATGGAGGACTTTTTTTAAAAACATTGGAAGAAGAAATTTTATGTCCTTTCAGCAATTGCATAAATCATTCCTTTTTTATTTTAAAGACATAACACGAGAAAGTTAAAATGCTTTTTATACCCAAATCCATCTGATTTTTTCAAACTTCTATCAAATAAAATAACAAAAACCATTGCAGAAAAAACAGCAGAAGATAAAATGAAAATCAAATGTAATTTGTATAGAGAAATAAATATCCTACTAGATGTTTGTTGTAGTAATTAACGAGGAAGGAATACTCTTTCCTAACTGGAAATAATTTCTTATTTATCTCCCTTTCTGATCTTTTAATTAATATATAGAATTATAGATGTAAAATGTTACCGTAACATATCACTAATTATCTGCAAATATCTATACATTTGATTACAATGTAATAACACAAGGAGTGCATCATTTAAAAGATATTACTTATAGATAGTACATGAATAAAATTTATTCAAAACATTTAACCAAATTAACATTCAAAGCAAAAAAGTAACTTAGTAACAGAAATTCACACATATAAAATGTATACAAAAATAGCCAAAAATACTTAATATTAAAAACAATAAAAAACAACCCATTCACTATTTAAGTAAATTGTCAAACTCTAAAAGTTACTTAATTAAAACTGTTTCCATAGTTACTGCTGGTGTATGAAAATATTTAAGTAACAAATTGTGCTTCATTATTAAACATCGTCAAATCATCCAACACACTTACTACATGTATTAAATTAGCATTTTGCTCATCCTTTGCTGCAATTTATATTAAACATTGAACATATAAGATAAATACACCATTTTCCCATTTTTATTCATTGTACCAGTCCATTTTATTAAGTTTTATTTAACGACAGACCAGTCCGCGGATAGTAAGAAAGAAAAGAAAGAGCTACAAACTACATTACGTGTTTGAGGATTAGAAGCAGAGGTATAAGCAGACTGTCTCCAAGCTTCAGTACGTTGTTGCTGGTACGAAGTGTTAAACACATCGCTATTTGTATTCTTACGTGGATGTTCTACGATGTATCGGTACGCGTCCATCGCACTGAATGGCCGGTTTCTCGACTGAACACTTAACTTCCTGTAATCAGATAGAGATAGACTGGTTAAGTTTCATTGGTGTAAGATTTATCGGTTTGTACAAGTTGTACAAAAGTTGTTGTTTTTTCATCTCTTCAATACATGTAATTTGCTTCTAACCAATACATTTTAATTTGTGAAGTAAAATCACAATATCATGCCTTCTCAACACACAAATTTTTAACCAATTGGTGCTTAGCTTTTCAGATTTGTGATTTTATTTGCTATTCATGTGCACAGATTTCAACATGGCAAGGCTTAATAATTGAAGAAATTAAAAGGTGATACTGCTTATTCTGCATAAACATGTACCAATTAACCTAGAACTAGCAAAATATCATCTGGAATCACCCTTTAAGGCTTTTATTGGATAATTCTGTCAGTCATCACAATCTTAATTTCAGACATTCAGTATGACAGACACAATGTGTATAAAAGATATTTCTCAGCATCTTCACAGGACAGAGTCACCCTGATCAAATACTTCTCTACTAGACATTGCATAGACATTGCATAGCACAATAATTCATTTCCCTGATTAACCCTGAACATGCCGAATATCTTAAAAGGACTTGTCCCACTTCCATTTTTGGGACTGTCCATTATCAATTTTAGGGATATCAATTTGAATATTTAAAATTTGTCAGCCAACAGTATAGAGCCTGGTCAGACTGCACGGGCTGGCCTGGCTCTATACTGGTGGCAAAGACTTAATGCTTTCGGGTCCAGCACTTAAAGGATTAAATTACATGAATACAAATATTTAACATATTCAATAACAAAACCAAACACACATACCTGTGATGTATATCAATCCAATCTGGGTTATCTCCCCTTTTAACATTTGAATTTTTCAAACTCATCATTAATACAAAAATTCCATATACAAAACAGCTTTTATTTCTGAATTTGTAACCTATATAATTATCTGTTAAGCCAATTATTTCTGCTGTCATGAAATATATTATGTCATACAATATACTCTAATTTAAGGTGGTTGTACATCCATTATTAGCTGATCAACATTGCCTTATGTGTTGAATAACTACAGTAAGTAACTTCTTGTCTTGAAAGTTCAAAAAAGACACAACTCATATATAACACAGAACAACTATATATCTTGCAACACCTAAAACTTAAAAATATATAAAATGTCCAATTATTGATTGCTGAAATAGTGCAATGTACAACACTCCTTGAAAATTTGTCATCTATCTAGCACTATTTGAGCCTGAGCCATATTCACAAAATATTAACCCAATAGCAAAAGCTATCCTTCTTGTATCCTACATGTAAGTAATACATATTGTAAGCATTAAAGACAAACTTGCAAATATTATGATGTGAAAATACCTTACACAATAATTTATTATATTTTTACCACTCAAAAATGTCAACTAGAGTGACATAATAAATATATGCTTCATAACCTAATGGTGACAAGCATTCAAATAAAAACTACAGTCCTGTAAACAAATTAAATAACCTTATCAAATACACCCTTTTTGATCTCTTATTATCACCTACATATAGAATACACAGGTTAAATACAGTCCAAGCAATAATAACTATGAATATTACATGATGCTTAATGATACAGAAGTAAAACATGTATAGTTTATATTGAATATCTGGAAAATGGATGATCCCTTGAAAGCAATGTAAATAAAGAAAAATTACAAGAAAATTGCAGACTCGGTTTGATTGAGTCTGTTCATGAGGGATAAATGAAAAGTGTAACATCCCTCAAACCACATAACACCATCTTACATGGTATTTAGTCTTCAACACTTAATGTGCTTGAATGAAACCCTTACATGGCTTAATCAGTGTAAATAGATTTGCCCCACTTTAAACTTGGAACTGATTATTGTTGTCTTTGGGAGGGAACATAATGAAAATTAAGATGACTATATTTAAAGTACCAGAATGTACATACAAACTTCTTATCCTGGAGGATTTTGTCTGGATTGTTTCCAACTCATAAAATAACAGCTACCTAGCCTCTTTAAGGAACACAGTTACCGTACCTACTCTTACTTAGAATTAAGAAAGGTACAGTAACCTACATGTACCCTATCTTAAAAAACAACCAACTTTGTTAAAATTTAAACCATAGCCTGTTTTAAGAAACACAGTAGCCTTCCCTGACTCCTATCCTGTCATGTCAAACAAAGTGACTTACCCTGTTTTAAGAGGAGCTCTAGCTGGTACAAAAGGTTGTCTCCCTTTGATCACTGGTGCTCTCCCTTTTCTGGCACTTCTGTCATCTTCTTCCATGATTTCAACCTGCATAATATTTACATGTTTATTTGGATGTTATGAGTATATATACCTGAAATTAAGTACCAGTTATTAACATAACAAATATTTCTAATTCTATATCAGAAGGCATTCAATTTTTTACATAGCATTTGCAAATTTTTCTTTAAAAGAAATTTAGCTTTGAAAATTTAAGAAATTTATAAAACTAACTTTTGTCTTTATTTTATTTAGTATTACCACTGAAGAGTATTTCCTGTATTATCAAATCAATGGTGCAGTCTTGAAACTATAAAGCTAAACAACTTGCAAGATTCTGCAAAGTAACAAAATATGCAAAAAAAGCAAAACACTGTTAAGATTGGCTCTAAAATACTATTCATTTGGTCCGTCAGCCTCTATTCTTATGCAAACATGCTCTGCTTTTCTTTTATTTGTTTTTCATTTTATTTGTATCAAAAAGTTAAAATAAATATCTTTTAAGATGAATTAAAACTTCAACCAGCCTTATAAACAAATATCTCAAATGAATTAGAACAAACAAGTAAATATAAGAAAATACTTGACATTTATTTTCTCCATTTTATTTAAAAGGTGAATAACATTTCAAGTATATGAAAGCTTTTATTGCAATTTATTTAAATTATTTGAGCATTCAAATATTAAAAACCTACTTTAAACAACCTATGTTTAATTTTTTAAATGATATAGATTTGCCTTATGCAACCAGTACAATGACGGGCCAACCCACATATCCATGCCGTCTGACCTGTCTTTATACTGTTTGTTGCTCGATTCAAGATCGCTGAAACTAAAACTTCTTAAATAAACAATGGAAAGTTCCAAATTTAAAGAGGGCAAGGCCATTTTACAAAATCAGGGGTGACAAATCAATCACTTCAGCTAATATTGAAATAATCTGTAATAATATGGGTTTTTTTATGGAATAAAACAAAATTGTACCTGTGGAATATTTATTTTCAAACTAGAGCTAATTTTCCGTGTAGTTGTCTCCCCTGATTTTCTACCGGTGTCCGGTGCACTTGCTGGTCTTTCGCTCCGGTTTGTTGCTAAACCTTGAAGTTCGGGTTCATCTTCTGACTGAGCTAAACTCGCTTCTGTACGAGAAGTTTCTGGTATCTCATTCTCTTTGTTTGATTCTACTCTGTAAACATGTAAAATGTCATATTATATATGTAAACATGTAAAATATCATGTCTGTAGACATGTAAAATCTCATGTCTGTAGACATGTAAAATCTCATGTCTGTAGACATGTAAAATATTATATCTGCAGTCATGAACAATATCATATACGTAAACATGTAAAAAGCATATCTGTAGACATGAAAAATATAACATATGTAGACATATAAAATATCATTTATGTAATTGTGTAAAATATCATGTCTGTAATTGTGTAAAATATCATGTCTGTAAACATAAGAAATATCATTTTTGTAAACATAAGAAATATCATATATGCAAACATGTAAAAGTGTACTAGTATTTCTCTAACATGTACTAGTATAAGATCTATAAATAAGTGAAAATGTTTGATGTTAAATTATCAATGTCTTTAAAAATATCACTCCTGTGCACATGTAACATATAAATCATAGAAAAAAATGTAAAATCTTAGGATTATACATGTATAACTGTTATGATGTCATAAAAGATATCAACAATTTAAAGTGTCTGAAAAATAAATCCATTTTATGTACATTAAATGAACCAACAATGTAAATATGTTAAATTTTAAACGTTTTAATGATGTAAAATAAAATTCAACTCTGTAAATAAAAACAAACATCCTAAAACAGTTTGAATAATTATTTTATTGGTAAGCTATGTAAACATGCTATTTGATGAACAAAGTGCTAAAAGTGCAGTCTACTCAATGAATACAATTTTGTCTGTAACCATGCTTAATATTTGGCAAAACTCCATTGGAATAAAATTATCCCTTTTGAAATATTTATAAAGCGAAATAAATATGAATGGATCTGTTTGAGTTATCATTTTCATAAATTTCAGCCTTTTTTCATATTTGGACGGGTTTAAGGTTATGTCATGTGGCTACAAAGAGGGGGTGTGGGGGGTAAGGTCATAAGCGAGAAAGACACTGTCATATGGCGATTTTTCTATGTGAATTATTTCAGGCATGGGCTAGTTCTTGTGTAGAGCCTTCGACTATCTATTCAATTCCTGTTTAGCTATCTCACATTTCCAAGACCTTAACACAGTCACTTTCAGATCCTACCTCAGAGCAATGACAGGAAAGTGACTTTCAATTGACCCACAATATCTAGAATAAATCTAACCTTTTTGTTTCCTTCTTAGAATTAGCCTCTGTATTAGCATTGTTTTGTTTGTTCTCATTCTGATCTGGACTACCGTCTGCTGTACATTCATGATTACTTTCCTAAGAAATTAAACAGAAAAACAGGTAAATTTATAAATAATATAAGGGTTATATATTGTTTTTATATATGAATGGTGATTTTATTTCACTCAGACTAGTCTAGGAAATTGCAAGCTTTATAACATTTCTCAATACTAACTTCATCAAATCCTCACCTTAGTGCTGTAACAGGTAAACTCCTATTAAAATTCAATAGCAGTTAACATATTACTGCACTAAGGTGATAAATTGTAAGATTCAAATGTAAAAATAACCTATTCAGACACCATTTTTAAAGACTTTTTAAGGTTCAATGTGTGCAAATGTGATAAATTTTATTACAAGAGCTGAAAATAAATTCATCCAAGAGTTTTCATATCTATTTATTTTTTTCAAGTCTGGACTGACCAGTACTGTCGTCTTATAAGGGAACAATGTGACAATTATTGTTTAATTTTTTTTCTTCACAAAACCATTCCTCTATCTTTTTGTCCCTCATAGCAAATGATTTTTGTCATAGGTAGGAAAAAAAGTGATTTTTTTCGAGAAAAGAAATCGGAAAAACATGAATTTAATTAATATATTTTAATACAAATAGAAAATCAGGGCTTGTAATTCTAAAAACGCTGAAATTCAGGAATAATTCTGAAAACCCTCGCCAAATTGTAAATCAGATCTAATTGATTGATCATTATGTGTACAGCTTTAAAAAAATTACATGTAAATGTTTATAAATGTGTTTTATATATTTATGTATAAGCCAGATTTGAAAACACCTTTTTGGTTAAAATTTCAAAATGAGAAAGTTTACTTGTATGTGATTGTTTATGTGATAAAACAGTAATTTGACTGCATTTTTGTGATCTAAGTCTCGCCCCTTCAGAGGTCATGATTGGTAAAATATCAAACAAGTTGCAACTTTCCTGATAGTAAGTCTTGCTTAAATTTCTTACTGTACTTTTTTATAACATGCATAGTTTAAACTGTTTACTTTATAAAAAGAGATTATTCTTTTAGTATAACTTAGTGTGCTTAGTGAGCAATATGTTCTAATTGTGCTTATATATTTGACAGAAATGCAATGGATTCCTGGGACTGTTCTGGAAATCTGGAGACAAAATAATTTAGATTTTTGTCCATGCAATATGGATTTAGGAAAACTTATAGAAGTTTATTGGATTTTAAAATGGTAATTATTGTGCTGAATTTATATTTTCTTCTTAACCAGTAAGACACTACAGTACATGATTTTAGCTCTCTTCTGAGCCAAAATATTTCAATAAAGTCAAACTTGAGAAAAATTAAAGTACTAAGATTTTAGGAAAAGTAAAATTAGATTCAAGATTTATGTTATGTGCGATTAATGACTAATTTTTCAGTATTTATAACTATATTTCTACTGTGTTTCTGATAAATTAAGGGCTTTTTTGTTTATTTTGACCTCTTTTTGGTAATTTACATGGGTTGCAAATTTAAATTGGTTGCTTCAAAATATTATACTTAATACATTTTCAAAATTTTTATTAAAATAAGCATGAATCCTGAGATGTGCTTCTTTAAAGGGCTTAACAAAATGGCTGTCATATACAGGATTTGAACAAATGCAAAATTCAAGTTTGACAGGTCACATTTGCACATTTACTTAATACACAAATCATTTTTGACAGCTAATATACTTATCTAAATGTATGAAACAAAATAAAAGTGTACTTTTGAACTTTATAATGCCATTAATAACACTTCAACATTAAAACAGGAATTAGACTGCAAAATATATCCTAATGAAAGCGTGCATTTCATACAATAAGTGCACAATTTTTAATCAGACAGAAGTAAGCTAATTCTAATCTGTTTAAATTTCTTTGTATTATCCTAATCACCAAGCGAAATAACCTGGTCAAGCAAGGATACGCTGATATAGTCTGATAAAACATTGCAGCAGACGGTCAATTCCAACTCAAAGATTACTTAAGTACCCAAAGTGGTAAAATTAAGCAGAAAGAAAAGGACTAAAGTTTAATACTAAAGACTAACAATGATGATAAACAGTATTGTAAGTGTCTTTTTATCATTTAAAGATTCGAAATATTTTTTAAAGGTCTGCCTAGATAATAGAATGCGTATAATGTTTAAACATTTTGTGAGAAATTCATGTGAATTTATCATCTTTTTTCCTCCTTTTTAAACATATTTACATACAAATTCAAGAAATAAAAGCTTTAGAAATGTTAATTTAAGAACTAAATGCTCAATTTCTATATAGAAAATTCATTTTTCATTTATATTGACACGCTCATTTCCTAAACTGGCAAATAGGACACCTTTATAAAGAAACTAAATTGGTTATTTAAAGTGTTTAGGATTTCTTTGAAGCATTAAATGTTAATTGTTTGCGATTCCTATGGCAAATAGTCCAAACAACTATAAAACCATTTAATGTAAACAGAATTGAGAGTGAAAATCATTTAGAGTGTTTTATATTTGTACTATTTAAGCACCTACGAGGTTCGGTGCAGGACAATTTTAACACTAAAGCTCTAAGGAGATATTCAACGCTCTATAATTACATTGGTACGGTCAATATTATCTCCAGTTTGTTAAATATTTGTCATCGATCAACTTATGCAAATCACTATGCATTAATTTATTCAACAGCTTATATAGAATTTATAACTTCTTATGATATAATAAATCATGAAACCGGCAAACATATTTTCAGACTTACTAAACAACCGCAAGTTAAAAACTTTTCAAAGGAGAAAAAAAATTAACAAACACGGATACACTGAAAGAAGTGTGAAAACTATCATAAATTTTCTAAAATGACATTTTGAACAATTTTTTTAAAAGAAGTATATCAAACGTGGGTATACGCAGAAAACAATTTTTCATTCAGTGGACAGTGATACATTGACGGGAGTGTAATATCATTTGAAATTTTTGCGATAAAAGTGGACGTTTAGGACATGATATGATTTAATACTGCCAAGGTAAGTAGCGGGCATATCTTGTTGATTACACTTGCTGGATAAACAAAAGTCAATCTTTAATCTTATTAATAACATATTGATTGCTTAAGACATTATCGGCACTTGTCTTCAGGGCAACTTATGGCAGACGACAAAAACAAGTTTGTCTCATGTTCAATACATAACTTCCATTTTTAACCATAGCTGAATATAAATTTTTAATAAACAAAGATAACCCTCGCACAGCTTAAAAAAAACATACAAGACAAAGTTATTTTAGGTTATTGTAATGAAATGGATTATCCCGAGATTTTGGCAATTTTAAATTAAAAAGTCAGGACACGGTGGGATTCTCTGTGATAAAATCTTTCAAGTTGGATATTTACTATTTTATAGGCAATTATTCCTTTCAAAACATGGAGGTAAGGTTTAGTTTAATTTTACTTTAATTTTACTTTAATTTCTTTTAACGTTTCTTCTACATTTCAAGCAATCTTTTAACAATGGATATATTGAAATAACATCTTAAATAAGGTTTATTTCTGAAATTAAATTGACTTTTATAAACATAATAGTCTAAATATATTCCGCGTAATTTCAATATCTTACTTATAAATTCTTAAAAAAAAGTTCTCCATCATAGTTAAATTAAAACTTTAACTTATTCTTATACCTACACATTTATCTTATTAATATTTTTTTTCTTAATTTTACATCATTTACTGACAGATACATACTTAAAGCAGAGTTTCTCTATCCTACCATATATTAGAATTTTGTAATTAAATGAAGGCTACTTTCCTCTCCATTGTCTTAAGAAATATAAAAATCAATTTCTTAAAACCTTAATAACATTATTGTGATCATAAGTTGGAGTTTTGGTCTTGAACTTACTTACATTATTAAAAAATGGTCTTAATAGTGGGGTGGTCTTAATTCCGGGGTGGTCTTAAGTAGGGATTCTACTGTTGTTAGGTCGTAACTACTAGAACCTACTAAACTTCTTTAATGGACTTGTGCAGCTTCCTTTTTTGGAACTGTCCAAAACAATTTTTGGAATATCATGATGAAAACTTAATATAAGTCGGCCAGTAGTATAGAGCATGGCCAGACTGCACAGTTGTACTGGCTGACCTGGCTGTTGACTGTAACAGTTGGCAAAGGCTAATCATATTCGGTTCCAGTGGGTTAAGGGTCAAGTCATCCAAAAGAGCAAATGTTTACAATGTTACAATCAACAAAAAAAGAAACTCAATTATCTCCTTCAAACAGAATATTAAAGAATTGTCTAACATTTCCGTTCACCCCAGGGTGTTCACTAGCCATGAAATCCTGAGGGTCACTTTGACTAAGTTTTACCGACTACAAGGTCAAATCCCCATGATTTTAACAAAATTTGACCCTCCAGTTAAAATCTTGAGGGTCAAATCAAGCCTTTTGGAAATTTGAAGAGTCAAAGAGTCATTTCAAGGGTCAAACGGACACCCTGCACCCCAAGGAATAACTTTACATACAATTTTCCGAGGGAAATTACTAATTTAAAGGTTCAATGATCATTATAACAGAACTTACAAATCACTAACCACTTTGATAAAACATTCATCATAGAATACCTTTAATACCTTTATTCATACTTTAACTATTCAATATACCTCGTCATTTAAATATTTTACAATTTTCATTATCATTTTCTTTTTTCGCTGGCCGACAATGTACGGTATATCAATACAGGTGTATTAAGATTAAAGGTAAATTTCCATTCATCCTATCATTTTCTCCAATTAAGCTAATTAAAGCAGTGATCAATATAAAACGGAAATCAGGGGAACACATTTTGAATAAATCTGAAAGCCTTTTACCTTCAATCTAATGAAACATGCTAATATAATGATAACATAAAAGAAGCAAAATCTGATCATTAGACATTGTGTGTTAAGAATGGTTAAAAATTATTTCTGTAAACAAACTATAGTTAAAGCTACATAAGGATTAAAGCCAACCAAACAAACAGTTCCATTAAGACTTTACTTTTTTCATTTAAGAAACCACTTAAAATATCTATGTTTCTATATATTAATATTTGTGATTTAAGGAAATACAGCTGCATTGTGTCCCATAAAAGGTCTTGATTTCATAGAACATGATAAATTGTCATGATTTATCTAGTTTGTCAAGGATAAAGTTGCTTTTTAAATTCTTGTTTTGTTCTTTTTTAAACCCAACTGTTGAATTTGTGCAAAATACTGGAGTAATTTTGAAGCAGTTTTCATGCATTCGAGTCTGCTTCAGCAGCCTGAGGAATAAGGTCTACAGTTTTGCTTTTAATCAAATTCAAAGGAGTTAGAGATTTAATTCACAGAAAAACTCAATCATAAAGGATAGGAGATTTTTAATTCTTTGATTTTAGATCAACGATTTAGTTTAAATCAAAGTTACGAACTTTTTCATCAGACAGTTTTCGTCAGACTATCAAATTTATATATCTTCATGTATTTATGCTATTTATAAATAAATTAAAGAGATTTTCTCTGTTATGATAACTGTGGTATCATTCGTACAAACACCCGACACCCAGACAAAACAAACTGAAAGTGAAAGGTATAAAAATCCATATTTGAACATTAAGTGTATTAAATATTCAATTATCGTACTATCTCCCCTTTCAGAAATCCATGGATAAGTCTGTATCATTTTTCGGTAAATTGGCCGGTTTTCAACGGCCTAGAATAAAGTCTGTTCAATATTTTATGTTAATCTTTAGAAAAGTATCAATGGTATACAGTGAGTTAGATATGTTGATGTCTTTCAGCGAACCAAAAAAATCGGAGTTTGAAATTATTGACTTCGATTCCTCACAATTGTTAGCTTGAATGAACCCATTAGCTTAAAGCTAAAGAATTGTCACTTATCTATTTTTCACTTAAATAGCTTTAGATGCCGCTTTTCAAGATTTTTCAATGGTTTACATAATTATTTTTATATATATCAGTTTGTTTAGTGTGTATATTGAAAAACATTTCTGAAGCAGTATTCAGTCGCAGAAAAAATTGTTTCATTATAGTTTTAAATAATATTTGCAGAACAAAAAAAAACGCACAAAAAGTTCAGTGATACGGATAGATCAGATTTTTTATAACAACAGTAAATCATGAATAAACACAACTTTTTCATTCAAACTTAACTTTTATCAAATGTGATAACATGGGAAATATAATTTAAATGATTTTCACTTTGCTAGATTTTGCTTCTTAAAATGACAGCATTAGGTAAGAATGCAAATTTGACTTACTTATCTTAATCTAACTTGAAAGGAATATTGAAATTTACAAGTTTTTTGCTATTTATTTCAATATTTTCATATCATTAAGGAAGCTCAGAAAGCATAATATCTGAACACCGAAGGTGGGTAAAACTATTTTGATGACGTTTATATCTTAAATTTACCTTAAAGCTGTTTCAGTAATAGATTATCATTGATTGCCATAGGATTATAGTAAAATATGATCACAGAAAAAAATTATAATCATAAAATTGTCAATGTTGTATATTAACATTTTCAACATATATCTGATACAAAATTCAATATTTGTGTTCGATTAAACCAAATAACTCTAAATATCTTAAATGAACTTGTCCATTTTTCAATCTGGACATAACCATTCATCATTTTTAGGGAAAACTTCAAAATAAGTTCTGACTGAGTAGTGAACAGTGCAAACCATGATCAGATGGTACGTTAGTGCAAGCTGGTCTAGGTATTGGTCACATGTGTAGAATCTGTTGCTGACATTAGACTAAAGGCCTACATATCATCACCTTAGTGCAGTAACGGGTAAAGTCCTTCTAAACTTTACAAGAGTTAAACATTTATTGCACTAAGATAAATTACATGTAATATACTTCAGGTAACGGAATTGTCACACTTTCATGAGCCCGAGATGCGAGGGTACCGACTGTTAGAAAAGGAAGCAGAAGATGTTGTACGGTGCGTGAAATATGACAGAGAGGAAGATGTGGTTCGTTTATTATTAAAGAATGATCGGGATTCGAGGGAAATTTGTACAATAATTGTGCAAGATGGTAGCACTGCTCTGCATGCAATGGCACAACAATCTAGACCCCAAATTCTTCAGGTATCTTATGATTTTACATTTTTTCACTCAATATATTTTGAATGCTCGCTGTCCTTAAAACCTATATACATTGAGCCTGTCCATATTTCGTTTCAATCTGGGCAAAACCATTATTTTAATGTAAAATTTCAAAATATGTAGAGAGAACAATGCAAGCAATGATCATATGGATCAAAAAAATTTCTGCCAAAAAAAAACAACAAAAAACAACTAAAGTGATGCTGTTTTGAACATTAAATAAATTTCCATTTCATTCTACATATATCTTTATCATACAAAAATCAATTATGTAAGAAAGTTTATGATCTGCAAAAAGGCAATTTTAAACTGGGCCTTGCAACGTAAATGAATAATTTCCTGTATGTGCTCATTGTAGTTTTTAATTTACGACATTCAATATCTTTGAATCAATAAACCTATGTTTGTGCAGAGAATTGAAGTTTGAAGTATTCTAGCTGATATGTAATCATAAACATATCAAATTCAAGTGTCCTTAAAGCAGACGCAAATACTGAGGATATAATAATGTAGAAACAACTTTCAACACAGACAAAATTATTTCATAGCTGAAACTTTAACAGCCTCTCTTTACTAAATTATAATATGAATTAATAATATGAGTCTAAATAATCCAAATTTTCCATACAATAAACAGTGCAATACATGAATGAACTTTAATTATATTTAATATTCTAATTATCCAACAAACACTTTCCGTACTTTTTACATATACATGTATATATATTAAAATGCTTAACTTGTATAACTTATTATTAAGGTTACACATCATGTTTAGAAAATTTAAACTGACAATAATTTTTTTAAAACCTATTTCAGTTACTTCTTGACCTTGGGGTGAACATTAACGCCAGAAATAATGAAGGCAAGACGGCCCTACAGATGGCGCTGTTGTACAACAATCTACTTGCTGCTCGCATGCTTATTGACAGCGGTGCTGATATAAACGAGACACTTTCTAAACGTACAGGAATGTCGTTATTACATAAACTTGTAATGAGAGACAATCTGCAGGGTACGCATCTTTTGGTTGAACGTGGTGCCCTCGTTAACGCTCGTGACATGGCTGGAAGAACGCCCCTACATTTAACGCTGCTAAGGAATAGTGCTAAAATGACTCAGTATTTAATCGAGAAAGGGGGAGAAGTAAACGCAATTGATGGTAACGGAGACAGTTTGTTACATGTAGCTTTACAGTATAGAAATACAGACATCACAAAACTACTTATTCAAAAGGGAGCAGACGTAACAATTAAAAATAAACAAGGAATGACGCCTTTGCATTTAGCAGTTGATGGACCTTTCGTAGACATAACACGCATTATTCTAAAAAAAAGTACAACTAATGTGAACACAAAAGAAAAACTTATGGGAAGAACTCCACTACATTTAGCCTGTGCTCTAAACAACACGCAAATTGTAAGAATGTTGACAGATCATGGTGCCGATGTAAATCTGTCAACAACTTTTCGAAAGTCACCACTTCATATAACAGCAAAACACGGTGCAACTGAAACAGCCCAATTGCTTATCAGGCAGCATGCCAATGTTAATATGCTCACAACAGGAAATAAAACGCCACTACACGAGGCAATCGAATACCAAAGTTTCAACATCGGAACTTTACTAGTTCAAGCAGGAACAAATATCAACTTTCGGGATCTTCATGGATTAACTCCCTTGCATTATGCTGTGAATGCAGATGCCTTAAGTTTCATGACCTATTTACTTCACCAGGGTGCAATGATTAATGCACGAGACAATAGACAAAAGACGGCACTTCATCATGCCGCCCAACTTGATAGCCACGACATATGTATGATGCTTTTAAAAGCTGGCATCGATCGTGACTCACCAGATGAGGATAACAAGTTAGCGGAATTCTACGCAACTTCCCCGCAATTAAAAACTATTCTCAAAGAAGGGCATGAATCTAAGAAATCTGACAGCAAAAAATCTCCATCAAAACAATAAGAAAATTTTTAGTAACTGTGACTTGTTAAAAAAAACAAACAAGACAAATGGTAGGCCAATAATGTATCATATTCGATAAATTACTTCCTGCAACTGCCTTAGCTTCAACCATCTTTTGTGTTTCAAACTTTAATCAGCTTTTTTCTTTCAAGTGGAAATTATTTATGCACTCTGTGATGAATTAATTTTATTTTTGTTTTTTATCTATTTATTCTTTCTATACACCTTTTACATGTTATTTCATTGTTATTTTGTTACAACTGTTTAGCTATCAGTACTTTTTGTGATAGGAAATAAACTGATCATTTATTATAAAAAAAAGACACATTTGTCACTGTCATCTGTCACCTGAGTAGAACCACCGACGTTCCATAAGCTAGCTGGATAGCTTCCTCACATGAAAGAATCCAAAGTCCCTGTTGGGATTCGAACCCACAGCGGTGAGGGGCAAGTGATTTGAAGTCAACAACCTTAACCACCCGGCAACGGACGCCCCTTCTATATTGAAATTGTTCAAATTAAAATTGACCATTGTAACAGAACATGTAAATTATATTAAATAAATCAGCAGGATTCAGAAGTCTTGATATGCAAAACAAAATAACAGCAGTCAACTATGGTTCAAAGTGTTTCTTTCAAGAGATCACATGTGAGTGCAAGTCAAATTTTGAGATAAAAAATTAGATTTTTTTTTCGATATACAACAACAGTAGCCTTGTGAAGAGCATAATTTTTTATACCTTGTTTTGCAAAAACACAAGTTTAATAGCTGACCATATCAAACTAAAGCCTGTTAAAGAAATGGTTCTTGATTTAAGGGATTGGTCCTAAGACTGGTCAGTCTGATACCGGTGTAATGTGAGTACAGGAAAAGAATCTTGTCAGTGTGTATACATAATTATATTTCAAAGAAGCAGACGTAAAACATATACTATTTAAACATACTTCTTAAACAAGACAATATCACTAATATAAAGTAAAACATTGTTGAGGTAGAAATACATCTAGCAAACATACACAAAGCATACACATTCACTGACCTTCACTTGACCTTCTTCTCCTGGTTCCTGTGCCATGGCAGCAGCCAGGACACAATGTAAACAATCAGGTGATTGGCTAGCATTTCCATTATGCTCTACTTCCTGTAAAAACAATACAAACGGTCAAATTAAATATTTTATTCAGAAAAAAAAACCTCGAGGAATAAATCCATTCATTGTAATATTAACTTTTCATGAATGGTTTTATGACTAAAATTTCAGAAAGTTAACAAAAGTTGAAAGCATAATTATGAGCAAGGAAACTTTAGCTTTTTTAGCTTTGATGTACATGTATATTGATTTTACAATAAATTAACTAACAGGCCATGCCTACACTTTTTTCAAAGAAACATAGACTAATTTGACAGAACATTTACCTTGTTTTTATCCAGGCTGCTACTTGGTGTATTTCTTGGGCTATGGGGACTGTGAGATGACCTTGACCTGTCTATAGGACCAGCTGACTGTATCCTCCGAGAGGTGAGATCTAATTTTAGATCTAACTTCTCCTTGAGCAGTGATGTCATTGGGCGAGGAGGGTACTCTACAGGCTGTAATGAAAATAATGACATAAAATTTTTGCATTATTATGATATTATTTTTTTTTTAAACAGGAATTTAAATTTAAGATTGAATAGTAAGAGATGTCTGATCATGTCCATTTCTGAAAGATATTTGGTATTAAATAAGAATTCTGACAATAATATTAAATGTGTTTGCAAAAACCTCAGTGTTTTTGTTTAACTTAAAATCTTAAAGAATAAAAACAACAACAAAAGAACACTTCAAGTACACAAAAAAAATCATAAATACATGTACATGTATAGGTATTTTTTCTAATGCCATACATAAAGCACATAGCTATAAGAATAAATGTTAAATTAACAACACTTACAGGCGTCTTTTTGTGAGCATATTCATCTGCCGTTGGGTTCCAACCTGCAGGCGAGAAGATGAGAGGTGTAGAAGTGTCTCTACCAGGGGTTGTTGCAGGGTAATTAATGTGGCCATGTAGAACCTCCTCTGGTGAGTTTGGGCGTAAAACCTGATCTGCTGCTACATTTGACCGTCTGTTAAGTTCCTTGCGTAGATCTTCTATTGTGTGAATAGTGAACCTGAAAGAAATGGTACCCTATAATATATATTTTAACACAATGATAATACAATATTCTTATTATATACATGTAATATCATTATAACAATTCATAGTCATCACTTTTGTTTTATCTCAACAAAATATCTACAAAAAAAATTATAATTCCCTTTCAGTAAAACAAAAATAAAACGAGAATAAAAACAAACATTTAACAAATACCAAAAACTTGAATGATTTAAACGAGAATAAAATGACTTAAACAAATTCTGGCATGTAAAAGCAGGTTGACATGGCCCTTTACTGATGTTATAGGGAATTCAATATTATTATATATTATTAAGTTCCACTCTTTTTTATGCATAAATTAAAACTTAGAATATGACAGTTGCTTAATCTAACAACAAGAAAATAGCAGTCATACTAAAATAAACATGACCATGAACTATTTTATAGATGCAGTGACATAATATATTTTCAATAGATTACGTCATATTTAACAATATGCACTATTTTTTTTGTGTCATTCTACCATTACATACATGCACCATACATCAAAACAAAGAGTTAAATCATAAAAAAACACAAAATGAAGGAAAACATGATCAAAATAAACTAGAACTGCCACTATCATGGCGTGAATACCCCCGCATACCACTTTGTCAGAATCAACAGTGGCCATTTAGAGCTCAAGGACAACCTCCCTGCCAAATCTGAGGTTACTAAGCCAGTGCATTGCTAAGTTATGTATTCTACATGCTTCAAATGTGAAAATGTCAAAATCAATACATTGCGGACAGGACATTCTTTAGCAATTGAGAAGAAAAGCTTTTTTTTTTGTCAAGGTCCCTGTGACCTTGACCTTTGACCCAGTGACCTCAAAATCAATAGGGGTCACCGTATAGTCATGTTCAACATCCATGCCAAATATGATGACTGTTGGTCAAAGGAATCTTAAGTTAATGGGTGGACAACTTTTTTGAAGTCAAAGTCCCCATGACCTTGACCTTGATCCAGTGACCTCAAAATCAAAAGGGGTCATCTACTAATCATGATCAACAACCATGCCAAATATGAAGACTGTGGGTCAAAGGAATCTAAAGTTATTGGGCAGATAAACTTTTTGAAGTCAAAGTCCCTGTGACCTTGACCTTTGACCTGGTGACCTCAAAATCAATAGGAGTCATCTACTAATCATGACTTACCTCCATGTCAAATATGAAGACTGTGGGTCAAAGGAATCTTAAGTTATTGGGCGGACAAGCTTTTTGAAGTCAAGGCCCCTGTGACCTTGACCTTTGACCTGGTGACCTCAAAATCAATAGGGGTCATCTACTTATCATGACTAGCCTCCATGCCAAATATAAAGACTGTGGGTCAAAGGAATCTTAAGTTATTGGGCAGACAACTTTTTTGAAGTCAAGGCCCCTGTGACCTTGACCTTTGACCTGGTGACCTCAAAATCAATAGGGTTCATCTACTAATCATGATTAATCTCCATGCCAAATATGAAGACTGTGGGTCAAAGGAATCTTAAGTTATTGGGCCGACAAGCTTTTTGAAGTCAAGGCCCCTGTGACCTTGACCTTTGACCTGGTGACCTCAAAATCAATAGGGGTCATCTACTAATCATGACTAATTTCCATGCCAAATTTGAAGACTATGGGTCAAAGAAGTCTTAAGTTATTGGGCGGACAAGCTTTTTGAAGTCAAGGCCCCTGTGACCTTGACCTTTGACCTGGTGACCTCAAAATCAATAGGGGTCATTTACTAATCATGACTAACCTCCATGCCAAATATGAAGACTGTAGGTCAAAGGAATCTTAAGTTATGGGCGGACAAGCTTTTTGAAGTCAATGCCCCTGTGACCTTGACCTTTGACCTAGTGACCTCAAATCAATAGGGGTCATCTGCTAAGTATGACTAACCTCCATGCCAAATATGAAGACTAAGGGTCAAAGGAATCTTAAGTTATTGGGCGGACAAGAAAAAACCGACGGACGGACGGACGGACGGCCGGACGGACAGCCGGACGGACGGACAAGCTGATTCCAGTATACCCCCCTTACAACTTTGTTGTGCGGGGGTATAACTAGAACTGCCACTGTCATGGCGTGAATACCCCAGCATACCACTTTGTCAGAATCAACAGTGCCCATTTAGAGCTCAAGGACAACCTCCCTGCCAAATCTGAGGTTACTAAGCCAGTGCATTGCTAAGTTATGTATTCTACATGCTTCAAATGTGAAAATGTCAAAAAAAAAGGGGTCATCTACTAGTCATAAATAACCTCAATACTAAATATGAAGACTGTTGACAAAAGCATTCTGAAGTAATTGAGCGGACAAGCTTTTTTTAGTGAAAGCCCCTGTGACCTTGACCTTTGACCCAGTGACTTCAAAATTAATAGGGGTCCCTTAATAGTCATGATCAACCTCCATGCCAAATATGAAGACAGTCAGTCAAAAGTTTTATTAAGTTATTGGGCAGACAAACTTTTTGAAGTCAAAGTCCCTGTGACCTTGACCTTTGACCCAGTGACCTCAATATCAATAGGGGTCATCTACTAACCATGACAAACTAACTACATGCCAAATATGAAGACTTCTGGTCATAGGAAACCTTTTTTTTAACCAAGTGACCTCAAAATCAAAATGGGTCATCTATTAATCATGGCTAACCTCTATGCAAAATATGAAGACTGTGGGTCAAAGGAATCTTCTTAAGTTATTGAGCGGACAAGCTTTTTGAAGTCAAGGCCCCTGTGACCTTGACCTTTGACCTGGTGACCTCAAAATCTAATAGGATCCTCTTCTAATCATAACCAATCTAAATTCCAAATATCAAGACTGTTGGTCAAAGGAATCTTACGTTATTTGGCGAACAAGCTTTATGAAGTCAAAACCACTATGGCCTTTGACCCAGTAACCTTAAAATCAATAGGGATCATCTACTATTCATGACCAATCTAAATACCAAATATGAAAACTGTGGGTCAAAGGGATCTTAAATTATTGGAAGTCAAGGCCCCTGTGACCTTGACCTTTGACCTAGTGACCTCAAAATCAATAGGGATCATCTAACCATGACCAAAACTGTGGGTCAAAGGAATGATAAGTTATTGGGTGTCAAGCTTTTTGTAGTAAAGGCCCCTGTGACCTTGACCTTTGACCAGGTGACTTCAAAATCAATAGGGAGCATCTACTAATCATGTCCAATCTAAATGGCCAAATATGAAGACTGTGGGTCAAAGAAATCTCAATTTATTAAGCGGAAAGCTTTTCGAAGTCAAGGCCCCTGTGACCTTGACATTTGACCCAGTGACCTCAAAATTAATAGAGATCATCTCCTAATCATGACCAATCTAAATGCCAAATATGAAGACTGTGGGTCAAAGGAATCTTAAGGCCTCAACAGACGGTAGGATTTAGTTGTACAGCACTAATTAGCGATAAGATGTACAATTTTCAAAGCTATACAACACTTGCATTCAGACGGTAATTCTACACTGAAAGAATCATCTGAGGTTTCCCCTAAAAAGGATCCCTTTACATTGATCCTTTACATACTTTACTCACTAAATACTTTTTTCGCCATGAGCAATGATATATATATATATATTTTTAATGTGAAGCCTGACCGAGACTTAAACCTGGGACCCTCGGAATACCGTACTGCGGCTCTGCTGACTAAGCTATCTAGCCGCCTACAAACTACCTCCCCTCCCCTAATTAGAGAACAATTCAATACCGTGACATAATCATTTTCGGAATAATTTGGGATAATTTGGGATTCGAACATAACACAACTTTGGGTCTCCTGAAGAGTTTTTCAACATCATTTTTACCCCATCTTACTACTATGTTTACTTTTTAGCCCTAATTGTTCTGGAATTTCATTCATTACATCCATTATCAGGAGATAATTTGGTTATCTGTTACTTGTCATTGTGGGAGGTCTGTAAAAATCGGTACAAGATTTTCAAAATAGAACATGTCCTATCCCTTACATCTAGACATAAGGTTTCCGAAATCAAGAAATAGTAGCCTTCACACATTAAGATTTGTCTGTACATCTCAGTTTTAATTGGTGTTGTACTTCAAAATCCTACCGTCTGTTGAGGCCTTTAAGTTATTGGGCGGACAAGGAAAAACCGACGGATGGCCGAACTGCCAAGCTGATTCCAGTATACCCCCCTTACAACTTCGTTGTGCGGGGGTATAAAAACCCACTGTTCAAAATAAAAAGCTAAATATTTAATAAATTATAATTCTATAGTTCTGGGACCTTGTATAATGTGTAAATAATATAACAACTAACACCCATATAAAATGTAACACCAACGAAATATAAATAAACCATACATCCGATGACCATATATCATCTAAATATTGTAGTCTTTATTAGGGAAATGTTTGTTTGCCCTTACCAATGGTCAATGGTCAAAAGTGATTTATATTGTTAGCTAAAAGTATTTCTAAAATCATAAAAGTATATACATGTTTAATCAGGTAAATAATATGATTCTATACAGTAACAAATACTCATAAAACCTACTCCACACAATTATATGACTTGGGCATTAAAAAGGAATCATATTTCAAAAATATTGCACAAAATCAATTAACCACTGCAGTAAGGTTTTAACAAACAGACTGAGGGTTGTGCAGTTATAACAAAAAGGGAAACAAACCATAATTCCATAAGAATAAGGCAATGAGACCAATTAGAGTTGCTTCCCTTCCTTAAATTCTTCATTAATATGTTACAAAACAACAATAAGAGACAAAGTTTATGCTGATAAAGATATTTTATAGAAACTGGTAAAGAACAAGATATGTTTGTAAAACATGTATGCCCCCTATCAGCAGCCAATTAGTCATGTGATAAAGTTATTATGCATGACTTCTGACCCAATGATCAAACAATAAATAAGGGTTATCAAGTATCTACTGGTCATGACCTTAACCTTTGACCCCTTGACCCAAAACTCAATAGGGGTCATCTGCTGGTCACGACCAA